GCACTCTAGCCTGGGTGACAGAGCGAGACTCCATCTCAAAAAAAAAAAAAAATGACACCTTATTAATAAATAATGTAAATAATAATAAGTAAAACTAAAACATAAAAGCCAGAAGATATTAACTCTAATGTAAATTAAGACTTTAATATGGCATGAATAACTAATGTAAATGAATTAAATTTTGTTGAAAGACCAATTCATTAGGTTTAAAATATTTTTAAGTATTACAAGAAACATAAATTGATATAAAAATGTTAAAGGTAAGCTGGGCATGGTGGCTCACGCCTCTAGTCTTAGCACATTGAGAGGCCGAGGCAGGCGGATCACCTGAGGTCGAGAATTCAAGACCAGCCTGACCAACATGAGAAAGCCCATCTCTACTAAAAAATACAAAATTAGCTGGGCATGGTGGTATGTACCTGTACTCCCAGCTACTCGGGAGACTGAGGCAGGAGAATCGCATAAACCCGGGAGGTGGAGGTTGCCGAGATCGCACAATTGCACTCCAGCCTGGGCAACAAGAGCAAAACTCCATCTCAAAAAATAAAACATTAAAGGTAAGACTGGTCAACATTATGTTCAGTAGGATTTACATCATCATAAAACAGATTAAAAGTACATATTAGATAGATTTATGATTTCAAAATGAAATTAACAGTGAGGATACCGCCAAGCAATTATGTATCTGAGGGAAAAATGAAAATAGGTCCTTTCCTCTTTTCCATATGCTAAAGTAAATTCTAGATGGATTAAGGACTTAAATTGTAAAAGACAGATCTTTAAAACTTGAGAAAATATAATTTATCTTTTGCAGCATGTGTTACAGGACAGTATTACCATCTCAAAGATCTGTGAGTTGTGGCTTATGTGACAGCAAAGAATTCAAATTGGCTCAAGAGAGGAGTTCTGGTGATGGCAGGGTTCCCTGATTAGTTTGGGTCATTGTTTTTTATTCTCTTAGCAAGGAATTCAACTTGAATGAATGGGTTCTATGACAGGCAAACTATGCAGTTAACAGTATTTAACTTGCACCTTTTATTGGCAGTTTTACTCGTCTCCCCTAAGCATTCCCATGCAGTGGTTTTCCAGGTGAAATACCTCTCCTGAGTGCCGTAAGTTTAACCAGTTATGAAGTGTGTAATTTTAACGACCATTTAGTTCATGTTTTTTATGAACTTTAACAGTAATTCACTTTGAGCTGACCCTCTGCATTACTTCTATGTATTGTAATAATTGCACAGCCATGGTATAGCACAATGTCCTTCAATAACTTACATCGGTGAAAGGCTTCTTTACCACTACTAGGCTTTACTATTTCATACATCATCATGAGGTAGGGAAGGATTTCACAAAGAAGAGAGATCAAACTTTAACTGTAAAAGATAAAAAATTGTTTAATTTGACTATATTAAAATTAGAGCCTAATAAGACACCTGTAACTCATATAACAAAGAACTGACAAAGGAATATGGTGTTTTTGATTTGTTTTGTTTTGTTTTTTATGGGATCTCGCTCTGTTGACCAGGCTAGAGTGCAGTGGATAGATCTCAACTCACTGCAACCTCTGCCTCCTGGGTTCAAGTGATTCTTCTGCCTCAGCCTCCCAAGCAGATGGGACGTCAGGCGCGTGCCACCACGCATGGCTAATTTTTGTATGTTTGGTAGAGATGGGATTTCACCATATTGGCCAGGCTGGTCTCGAACTCATGACCTCGTGATCCGCCTACCTTGGCCTCCCAAAGTGCTGAGATTACAGGCATAAGCCACTGCAATGGGCCTTTTTTTTTTTTTTTTAAGACATAGTCTCACTTTTTCATCCAGGCTAGAGTGCAGTGGCATGATCTCAGTTCCTTGCAACCTTCACCTCCTGGGTTCAAGCGATTCTCTTGCTTCAGCCTTCTGAGTAGCTGGGATTACAGGCATGTGCCACCACACCCAGCAAATTTTTATAGTTTTAGTAGAGATGGGATTTTGGCCATGTTGGCCAGGGTAGTCTGGAACTCCTGACCTCAGGTGATCACCCACCTCGGCTTCCAAGGTGCTGGGATTACAGGTGTCAGCCATCACCCCCAGCCGGAATATGGTTTATATGTTAAGTATGCCTCAAAAATGAAAGAGGAAAGACAACCCAAGAAGTTATGAGCAAGAAATAATCAGGAATTTTTACAGACAAGTAAACATAGCTAATAAACATATGAAAAGATGCTAGTAATTAGGGAAAGGCAAATTAAGACTTGAGGTCTAATTCTTTATCCAAGTAGATTGGCTAAAATCACATCTGGCAATACCAAGAGTTCAAGAGGATGTAGCTCAGTGGTAACTCTTATACATTGACTATATAGGTGCAAACTGGTTAAAACTATTTCGGAAAGTAATTTGGCTTTCCTGGAAAGTTGGACATGGATACCATATCAGTATCCAGAAAGGAACTCAGGAGATGCTTACACATAGGCACCTTGAGACAGAAATGTTCAAAATAGCAGTGTTGTGTCAGAACATCAACAAGAACTGAAGACATAATCCCAGCACTTTGGGAGGCTGAGACAGGAGGATCACTTGAGGCCAAGAGTTTCAGACTAACCTGGGCAGTATAGTAAGACCTGGTGTCTACAAAATTTTTTTATTAAAAATTAGCCATGTGTCATGCTGCATGCCTGTAATCCCAGCCTCTTAGGAGGCTGAAGTGGGAGGATTGCTTGAGCCTGGGAGGTTGAGTCTGCCATGACCCATGCTGCACTCCAGCCTAGGAAACAGACCACTAAGACCCTGTCTCCAAAAAAGAAAGGGAACTGGAGGTGACCCAAAGATCCTTCACAGATGATCAGATAATAAACAAATTTTGGTGTATGTACCCAATGAATTATTATAATACAAAGAGGAACATAAATTATTACTACACACAGGCACACGGATGAATTTTATACATAGCTAATACAAGTATTAGCTAGTTTGCTCAACAACAAAATTAAACAGTATACTCGTTTACATGTAATATTTATAATGAAACCATAGAAAAAATAATAGAATTATAAACTAAATTTTGGAGAAACATAAGTAAATACAAGTTACTGATCGTATTCTACTTAGTTGTTGTGGGTGGTTCAAAGATGTTCACTTTGTTATACTTTGTAATGAACACATATACATGTCTTTTGTATGCATCAAATGTAGAGGGTTTTTTTTACTCCAAAGCTTAAATTTCAGCACTTTTTCCTAGTTTGGGCCCTTTCCAAAGGCCCTTAGAAGGACAGTAGTAATATGTTCACATGGTTGGACATTTTCATCAGATTTACAATAGTAAGCTATTTTAATTGTAGTCATTTAAGATTCCTGTCTCTCTTCACCTTGATTTCTTCTTTGTGTCAGCTGGCAGTAGAGTGGTTTTAGGCATTTCGTTATTGGGGGATTTGTATGGGTTTAGTAGGATGTGTTTGTGATTGGAAGTCATTTCTGGATGTAGGTAATTACAGCCTGTCAGCCTGATTGTGTTGGGAATGTGATCTCTAGTGCTTGGCACCTGGAATACATGAGTATTAGAGAAGCCAGAGTTTGAAATTTGTGAAACCAGAAGGTAATCAGGAAAAAATTCCCAATTATCTGATGTTTAAGTTTTTAAGTATAGGATTTAGTTTTCATGAATTTCCATTCAAAACAGCACTTTTCTCTTGTTAGAAATAATAAAATGGCATATTCAGTTATAAAATCAACATGTATTTATTTTCTTCTTTTTGATAGAAATCTGCTTTTTTTTTTTTTTTTCTTTCTTGAGACAGGGTCTCTCTTTGTTACCCAGGCTGGAGTGCAGTGGTGCAATCACAGATCACGGCAGTGTCAATTCCTGGGCTCAAGTGACCTTCCTGCCTCAGCCCTCTGAGTAGCAGGAACCACAGGCATGTGCCACACCTTATTGAAGTCTGCCTTTAAAATAATATAAGAATATTTTTATTTGTAGGACACAAAACTGTAGCAGTGTCTTCAGGAAAAGCTGCTAGTTTTATGCATCATGACTATCAGTTTTAGCAAATACGTTATTAAACCATGCTGGAGGAAAGATTTGATTTGTTCACTCTTCCTGGAAAATAATACAAAAATTGTATTCATGAAGAGACAATCAAATAATACACAGCCCTATAGGAAAAATAGAATTGTATAGGCATGTTAGGACCTTAATTAATGAAGAGTATTCTGATGTTTTTCTGGATGTATTTAGTGTACATATCAGGTTTTTGTTTTTGGGTTTGGGTTTTATTTTTGGAGGTAGAGTCTTGCTCTGTCTCCTAGGTTGGAGTGCAGTGGGGCAATTTCTGCTCACTGCAACCTCTGCCTGCTGGGTTCAGCAATTCACCTGCCTCAGCCTCACAAGAACCTGGGATTACAGGCATGCACCACCACACCTGGCTAATTTTTGTATTTTTAACAGAGACAGGGTTTCACCATGTTGGCCAGGCTGGTCTGGAATTCCTGACTTCAAATGATCCTCCCACCTCTGCCTCCCAGAGGCAATTAGAGGTATGAGCCATTGCACCCAGCCACATTTATTTTAGAAACTTGAACATTTGGAAAACTGAAACAGATGCTACTATGTATAGAAAATGAAATGTTTTATACAAAGCTTTTTTTTTTTTGGTTTTATGAATAAGTGCAATTTAATCTTTAGGTTATTTAAACCATGACTTACATGGATGGATTAAAAAAAAAGTGAATGGTTGTAGCACTGAGGTGATAGAACAAGAAGTGGCTAGATAAAACTATCAGGCATAGCGTCAAGTAGAGGCATACTAGCAATATAGATTTTGAATTTATGTAGTTTAAATTTATAGAAACAGTCAAATGATTTCTATGTTTTCAGTGTCATGAAAATGGATATAATTTCCAGTAAATGATCATTTAAATCTGGATAGTATCAATGTTATTTTAATATTACAAATAACTTTAATTCAGTAGTAAATAACTTTTATTCACTAGCGAAATGCATTTAAATATGATGTCTTAAATTCCAGGATATGAAAGATGGCAAGTCCAGATAGAAGTAAACGGAAGATATTAAAAGCCAAAAAAACAATGCCCCAAAGTTGCCGGAAGCAAGTAGAGATGCTGAATAAGTCAAGAAATGTCGAAGCACTGAAAACAGCAGCAATTGGAAGTAATGTTCTGAGCGGTAATCAGAGTTTCAATCCTAGTGTCATAACTGGCAAATGTGGACCTTCTGAAAATGGTACATCCTCATCGGACTCTAATAAAAATTCAATATCAGAGGAAAGTAAAGTATTCTCTCAGAATTGCATAAAACCAGTAGAAGAAATCATTCATTCAGAAACAAAATTGGAACAAGTTGTTTGTTCAGACCAAAATCCAAGTAAAACAACAGATTCCCCTAGCAGAGTCTTTATAGAAGAAGCAAAAGATTTACTGAACACTTCTGGAAATCAGACAAATGTTACAGGATCCCTTTTTGAGCATGAAGGGGCCTGTAGCCTAATGTCCACTCGCTGTCCACCCAGTGTATTGAATGGTACTGTTCAGATGCCAGAGACTACAGTAACCATTCCCGTGGATGATAAGAGAACTGACCAGATAGTTTTCCATTTAGACACAAACTCCAATTCAGAATCACATGATAAAAAGCACAGTGACAACATTTTATGTTCAGAAGACTCTGGTTTTGTGCTTGTTGAGAAAACACCTAACTTGGTGAATTCAGTCACTTCTCACAAATGTGCTGATGACATTTTGAAAATTGAAGAACGTAGTAGAACCTGTCCTTCCAGCATTTCGAATTGTGAAACCGCAGATTCAACATGGGAGTTATCACTTGACACTAATAACAACAGTAAGCATATATTTACGCACCTTTTTGAAAAAATAGTCACTTTTCTTTGAGGTATTTTAAAGTCTCAAATATACAAACAAGTAGAGTATATACAGACAGGGAAAGGGTAAATAACAATTTATTTCACAGTATCTTGTTACTGAAATGTTCTTGGTGAGGTGGGGGACAGGTATCCACCATATTAAAGGGGTAGTTAATTATTGGAGAGAAGGAATCAATCACTTTTCCTTGAGTACAGAAAATCAAAAGGTATTTTATAGCAATTATTTGGTTCATTTCATCTACATGTCTTCTGAAGTTTTGAAGTTTTATTTATTAGATTAAGAAGGAGGCTGGTGGAAAGAGAGTGCGTTTTAAAAATTGTTGGTAACCCTATTTCTTTTTTTTTTTTTTTTTTTTTGAGACGGCGTTTTGCTCTTGCTACCCAGGCTGGAGTGCAATGGCATGATCTCGGCTCACTGCAACGTCCACCTCCTGGGTTCAGGCAGTTCTCTTGCCTCAGCCTCCGAGTAACTGGGATTACAGGCACATGCCACCATGCCCAGCTAATTTTTTGTATTTTTAGTAGAGACAGCGTTTCACCATGTTGACTAGGATGGTCTCGATAATCTTGACCTTGTGATCCACCCGCCTCAGCCTCCCAAAGTGCTGGGATTACAGGTGTAAGCCACCGTGCCCAGCAACCCTATTTCTTTTTATAGAATTGACCTGTTAATCACATGCCAAGTATAAAATGATAGATAATATATGCACACATGTGTGTGTAGAGAAAGAGAAGCACCCCAAATAATAAATGAAGATCTTAGATTATAACATCATTAAAATAGCAAAAGTGAATTTCATTTGAAGTAGGGCATTTATACATTGATTGATGAAATAGAAAAAAACTGATTTCATAGGATAAATTTTGTGTTCTTGTCTAGGCTACAGAATGATCATGTAACAAGATGAATTTAAAATTGCTTCAAAATAATAACATTATCATCTATTTAAAATCGTATAATAGGACTGGCTGGGTGCAGTGACTCATGGCTATAATCACAGCACTTTGGGAGGCCAAGGCAGGAGGATCGCTTGAGCCATCAAGACCAGCCTGGACAACAGATCCAAGGCCCTGTGTCTTTTGAAAAAACTAAAAGAAGCAGCCAGGCATGGTGACTTACGTCTGTAATCTTAGCACTTTGGGAAGCCAAGGCAGGTGGATCACCTGAGGTCAGTTGTTGAAGACCAGCCTGGCCAATATGGCAAAACCCCATATCTACTAAAAATACAAAAAAAAATTAGCCAGCCATGGGGGTGGGTGCCTGTAATCCCAGCTACTCAGGAGGCTGAGACAGGAGAATTGCTTGAACCCGGGGAACAGAGGTTGCAGTGAGCCATGAGCCGAGATTGTGCCACTTCACTCGAGCCTAGGTGACAAGAGCGAGACTCTGTCTCAAAAAAAGAAAAAAAAGATTAGATAGAAAATAATGTAGAACCACTTAAGTAACCATAAACAGAATTAAATGCCATAATTTTTAAGTTTTTGTTGATATATGTATATTGAATTATTAAGTAAGATTGAAGGGATGGTGTATCTGAGACCAGAACCCTACCTAAGTTAACTCATTTTTTTTAAGGAATAATTGGTGGATATGTTTTTATGCAATTGAATTTTCTGAAAAATGCTGCTGTTGACACATTTTAGTTTTTCCATTTGCTCAGAGGGTCCCTAAATTAGAGAATTTCTATTTCTTTTCTTTTCCTCCTTGAAACAGGGTCTCACTGTGTTACCCAGGCTGGAGTGCAGTGGTTGAGGTGCTCACTGCCACCTCAGCCTCCCAGGCTAAAGCAATCCTCCCACCTCAGCCTCCCAGGCTAAAGCAATCCTCCCACCTCAGCCTCCCGAGTAGCTGGGACTACAGGGATACCCCACCATACTCAGCTAATTTTAAATTTTTTATAGTGACAAATTTTCACTATGTTGCCCAGGCTGGTCTTGAACTCCTGGCCTCAAGCCATCCTCCCTCCTTAGCCTCCCAGAGTGCTGGAATTACAGACATGAGCTGCCATGGTGAACCTGTTTTCTTCTTTAAAATACCTTTCTTTATAATCTTTCCATCTCCTCAAGACCATTATCAAAAGAAGAGGATGTTTTTAGAAAGCAAAGAAAATGTTAAACGCATGAAAACTTCAGAGCAAATTAATGAAAATATTTGTGTGGATTTGCAAAGGCACACAGCATTCCTGGAACAGGTAAAATATTGGGGCTTAGATAAAACTTCTACTTTTGATTAGTAAAACATGGTAAATTAATTACCTGGTCTCCACAGTGACATAGTACAGTACAGAGGACTCTCACTTGATGCAAAGCTGGTGTGTGAAAGCCAAATTATCACAGATTGGGGAGAGAGAAATTATTTACACTACTAAAACAGCTCTGGTTTCTTGAAAATGATCTCATGCAGAGTTACCTAGGGATCATGTGTAGGTAGAGACCTGTGTCAGAAAGAGAATGGGCTTTCAGTCAATACTACACTCATATTTGTTGGTGAGTCAGACACTGGATGACCTTGAGCTTTGATAAACAATCCAATCTCTTTTATACTAGTCGTGGGGTTCTTAGATCTGCAGCTAAATCTGTTTGTAGATCTCACCACGACCCAGAAGAGTCAAACAACCTGGAAGTCCATTGCAAAGTCCACTGCATTCAGGTTTACTTGCCCTATTTTCCAAACTTAAACAGATATGGTGCATTATCTGACATTTTGCTTTATGGCATCATTAAATAGTCTTCTTGCTTTCACTGTGACCTCATTTTATCTAATTGCACTACAGTCTCAATATGTGTCTAATCAATTATTAGTTGAAGTGTAGTGTTTCAGTTGTAGTAAAATGACTATACTCAGGATGGGTTTTGATGACCATGTTTTTCTATTTCACTACCACTAGAATGCCACTACTGTAAATCATTACATAGTAGATTAATGTCCCTCAATTGTAATGGACCAAAATTTCCCAGTCTAAACTACAAACTGTTTCAGAAACAAACACTACTGCCGTTTTTTAGAACAGACCATTACAATTAGATAGTTACGTATGCTATGAATGTATATTCTTCACCTAATAAAGGGAAATCTTTCAGAAACACTTATGCAGAACCAGTTTAAAGGGTGAGTCAACAGTTTTCCCCTGTCTACCTTTTGTTTTTCTTCCAAGAAGACCAAAGGATACACAATAAAAAATAAGTAAGTGTTCTATTGCTGGCAGAGAAAGGGTAGTGGAAGTATGGCAAGCATGGATCTAGCGCTAAGGACCACGTTATTCAAGAAGAAGATTGGGGATTCCAACTGGGTCTTGTGTCCAGTGATTAGTAGCTAAAGTGAGTAGTTCTTTTTGCTTTTTTGAGAGAGTCTCGCTCTGTTGCCCAGACTGGAGTACAGTGGCACAGTCTAGGCTCACTGCTACTTCCACCTCCTCAGTAGTTGGGACTACAGGTGTGCGTGCACTAGTACTCCCAGCTAACTTTTTGTGTGTATTTTTAGTTGAGACGGGTTCTACCATGTTGGCCAGGCTGGTCTTGAAGTATTGACTTCAAGTGATCTGCCTGCCTCGGTCTTCCAAAGTGCAAGGATTACAGGTGTGAGCCACTGCGCTAGGCCAGAAGTAAGTTCTAATGTGTACATAACCATCTCTGAATAGCTAGCTTTTCCTCACTTCTTGTAATTCTTATCCAGACTGCCAGACTGTTATCTCTCTAAAGCATATCTGTGTATTTACCTTGTTTGAATCTCAATGAGATAGCCCTCCCCCACATTCTGACATTTTTCTCCCCTATTGAAAGAGTCCTAGAGTGATTGTTTCTTAGCCTTTTGAAGTTTCATAAGGATCTTAGCCTAGTTCCAGTTAAATTACTGAAGAGGAAGGGTTTTTCCTTAACCGTCTAAGTTATTCACTCTACCCACTGTCTTTGAAAGTTGTCAGAGATTGGAGATAAGTTTGTACCTTCTCCAAACTTCAGGCCAGTTTGGTTGCTATCTTCACTTTGAAGCCAGGACTTCAATGTGGTTCCCTATTAATGGACACATTTCCGGTGGTTAAAAAAAAAATTGAGGTATTTGATGGAAGTTATTGTGTCTTCTGTATGAGGAATATTATCATTAAATTAGATCAAGTATATAGTCTAATCAAGAGGAGTTACCCCATGGTGGATACTTAGTCCAAAATGATCAAATTTAAGGACCTGTTTCTATCTGAACCACCAGGAATACTTGTTTAAATTGTAGTTTCTTGATCTTACTAATAGACGAAGACTGTGTTTTAGGCTACTGCTTTCTCAGATGTACCTGATAAAAATTATTTGTAGTAACTAACCATACAACTTTCCAGGCCCCTTTCCAAAACATTGTGTTTGGTGGATCCAGGATGTGGCCTAGGAATTTGTGATTTTAATAACCATCCCATATGATTGTTCGTCATTCCTGGTGTTAGAGAAACACTGTACAAAAGTGTCTCCATGTTCAAAACCTTTAGATATGTTTCTCCAAGATTCACCTTTTTTTTTTTTTTTTTGAGACAAAGTCTTGTTCTGTTGCCCTGGCTGGAGTGCATTGGTGCCGTCTCAGCTCACTGCAACCTCCACCTCCCAGGTTGAAGCGATTCTCCTGCCTCAGCCTCTTGAGTAGCTGGGATTACAGGAATGCGCCACCACGCCCGGCTAATTTTTATATTTTTAGTAGGGATGGGGTTTCACCATTTTGGTCAGGCTGGTCTTGAACTCGTGACCTTGTGATCTACCCACCTTGGCCTCTCAAAGTGCTGGGATTACAGACGTGAGCCACCAAAGCCTGGCTGGCTTCTTTCGATTTTAGCACCATGCTCGAACTAGCTAAGGTAACCAATTGACTGATATTATTTCAGTTTTAACAATAAGAAAGCCACCCCCTAAAAAAATTATGGAAGTAATGGTGATTATCTTGCATATTTATTTCTTTCATACCAGTTCAGTGTTTTTTATTTTATGGAGCTCTTTTTTTGCATATTACCTTATGTTTCTATAAAAATCCTTTGAGTATCACTTGTTTAACATTTATTATACAATCTACTTATTTGTGGAGAAGGAAAATGAAGCCCAGAAATAATGTGACTGACTGAGCTTAGGTCAGAGAGCTTATTAATGGCAGTGTCAAGTCTCACACTTGTGTTCTATATCTGCTACAGACCAACCTATCATTTACATCAGGCTCTGGTTTTCAGATAAGTAGACTTCCTTTTTGTGGAATACTAACTTGCAATTATGGTCATTAAAAATATATAAATGGCATATAGTCTTTAAATTGTTTCTATAAGGTATAGTATGGAATTCAACTGAAACTATAGGAAACTAAGGTTAGCATTAATTTCTAACATGTCCAGTATATGTAAATATTGAGTGTGTTTTAAGTTTAATATTGAAGTTTTATAAAACTTACTGGTATAGTTACCTAAACATACAAATATGAAGTATATTTAATTGGTTACAGTAAATCCAGAAAAGAGCAAGTATATTTAATTGGTTACAGTAAATCCCCATCCCAGTTTTTCTATTTTTTTAAAGTAGAAAGTAAAATTGCTTTTAAATTTGAAACGGGGGGTATTGTGGTTTTTATTTTAAAATTCTAGGTCAGACATTTGATTCAAGAGGAAATGTATAGTTTAAATTACAAACTATTTGATAAGAAACTGGAAGAATTAAACCAACGCATTGGAAAGACAGAGTGCAGAAATAAATATGAAGGAATAGCAGGTGGACTCTTGGTAAGTTTTCATTTCATTTGAGTCATATTTGGGGGAATAGGGGGTGTTCTTGCTCTGTTGGCTAGGCTGGAGTATGGTGGCTCACTGTAAACTCTGCCTCCCAAGCTCAAGCAGTCCTCCCACCTCAGTCTCCAGAGTAGCTGGGACTACAGGTGCACACCTCCATGCTAATTTCTGTATTTTTCATAGAAATGAGATTTCACCATGTTGCCCACGCTGCCCTCAAAACTTTTGAGCTCAAACGATCCTCTACCCTCAGCCTCCCGAAGTGCTAGGATTACAAGCATGAGTCACCACACCTGGCCCATTTCAATCCTTTTAAAAAGCAGAATTTGGTGGTATTTTTCATATTATCAAAGGAAAACAAGGGAAGAAACACCTGATTCTTGGCCACTAGCCATAAGAACATATCATAGACAATGTAATTTATTATAGCTTAGCAATATTGCCTTTTGAGAGATATTCATAGCTTAGGCATTGTGTGTCAGTTGACAGGCTTAATATATAGACAGTTTCGTTTCTTTCTAAATTATCCTTTCTTAGAACTTCTACAGCCTGTTCCAAGCTTTCAACCATGCCTGGCAGAAGCTTGAGATTTTTATCTACCTTAAACTTAACATGATACAAGCATAGGCCAGGCACAATGGCTCACCCCTGTAATCCCAGCACTTTGGGAGGCCAAGGCCTTAGGCAGATCACCTGCGGTTAGGAGCTCGAAGCCAGCCTTACCAATGTTGCAAAACCCCATCTCTACTGAAAATACAAAATTAGCTGGGTATTGTGGCATGTGCCTGTAATCCCAGCTACTCAGGAGGCTGAGGCAGGAGAATTGCTTGAACTCAGGAAGCAGAGGTTGCGGTGAGCTGAGATGATGCCATTGCACTCCAGCCTGGGAAACAAGAAAACTCTGTCTCAAAAAATATATAGCAGGGCACAGTGGCGTATGCCTGTAGTCCCAGCTACTCAGGAGGCTGAGGCTGGAGGATCGCTTGAGCACAGGAGTTCTGGGCTGTAGTGTGCTATGCCAATAGGGTATCCACACTAAGTTCGGCATCAATGTGGTGACCTCCTAGGAGCAGGGGACCACCAGGTTGCCTAAGGAGGAGTGAACCAGACCAGGTCGGAAACCAAGCAGGTCAAAACTCCTGTGCTGATCAGTAGTGGGATCTTGCCTATGAATAGCCACTGCACTCCAGCCTGGGCAATATAGTGAGATCCCATCTCTTAAAAAAAAAAAGGTAAAAAAAATATATATATATACACACACACACTCACACACAAGCATGAAATGTGATTTTTTAATATATATCACAATTTCTCATTTGGGTAGATGCCTAAGTCTTACAAAACAACTTGGGCAAATAATTGTCCCTCCGTCTCTATATAATATGATATGTAGTAGTATGGCTTAGTATTCTTTTTTCTCTTTTTCTTCTAGGCAAAAATAGCAAAACTTAAAAGACGTATTGAAACAGTGTTATACTATCAAAGGGATTGTTTGAAACCAAACATGTTATCCAGTAATGGAGCCTGTAAGGTTTGTATAAACACAGAGGAATTTTAATAATCTATTTGACTCACATAAGTGGTTGGATTATAAGAAATGAATATATTTCCAAGGTTGGACAGAAGGTGTAATGGTAAGTAAGTTTTTACTTAGAATGCTTCCATAAATCTGTCTATGGAGAAGATACCCTTAGGTAGTAAATGCCACTTGTATTTCTTTAGTAAAGGCAGTAGAAAGACGATTGGTGATTGCCAAGACTATCTTACCCCACCCCAGTTTTATCATAGAAAGTATCAAATGTATATAGCAAAGTTGAAATAATTTCATGGTGAATAATTGTATACTCAGCACTTAGATTCTGAAAACTGAGCAAGGAGACTTTTTTTTTTGAGACAGAGTTTCACTCTTACTGCCCAGGCTGCAGTGCAGTGGTGCTCACCGCACCTCCATCCCTGCCTCCCGTGTTCCAGTGATTCTCCTTTCTCAGTCTCCCAAGTAGCTGGGATTATAGGCATTCACCAGCACGCCTGGCTAATTTTGTATTTTTAGTAGAGAACGGGGTTTTGCCGTGTCGGTCAGGCTGGTCTCGTATGCCTGTAGTCCCAGCTACATGAAGTCCCACCTACAACTCAGGTGATCTGCTCACCTCTGCCTCCTAAAGTGCTGGGATTACAGGTGTGAGCCACCCCATCTGGTCAGGAGCTTTCTTTGTAGGAAAGTTTTTACTTGAAAATCCAGTTCTTTTGTAGGTATAGGGCCATCCTTTTCATCTTGTATCTGTTTTATAAGTTGTCTTTATAAGGAATTTGTACACGTTATCTAATTATTGAATTCACTTGTTCTTTTAATGTTTGGAGTTCTACAGTGTATACTGTACTTTATTTCTGATAGGGGTTATAGGCCAGCATATTGTTATACCCAAGTGAGTAAAGGAAAGCGCCACACTCTGAGATTTGAGTTATGAGTCCTTTATTGCCAGCAACCAAGAGATGGCTAATGCCCAAAATTTTCTCTGCCCCAAAGAAAGAGTTAGGTGGTTTTCTTATACCCTAGTTTGAAAAGGGAGCGGGAGCCAAGCTAAAGCAATTTTTTCACAGAAGCAGAGCAAGCAGAAAGTTAAAAGATAAACTAGTATGTAAGAAGTAAGCTGTACCAGGTGCAGGAGCTTAAGCTGTCCCCAAAGACATACAACTTATAGATATGGGGCTCTGGGTACATAACAGGATCTACTGGTACCACTTGACTCGGCATATTATTAGCAAATGCATTCCTGGATGTGCCTGGTGTCATCCTGCCCCAGTCACACACGATAGCTATATCTTAAGGGTGGGAAAATAACTATCAGTGAAGAAGCTAAGATGGAGTTTGTCTGACTTCTTCAATTAAAAATGAGTTGGTAAGGCCAACACAGGTAGGATAACACAATGGGATTTCATTCTGGATGAATGTTCATACAGAATATTGGTTGTAATATTCTGTAAATGTCATATTTCAGTTAATTGTGCCAAGATGGTTGATAGTGATATTTAGACCTTCTATAGCTGTGGTAGATGGAAAAAAAAAAATGGTCCCTAAAAGATGTCCATGACCTTATTCCCAGAAGTTGTGAATGGTACCTTACATGGTGGAAAGGGTCTTCGTAGATATTAAATTAAGTACCCTGATACGATGGGGAGTTAATCTTGGATTATCTGGGTGGGCTCATTTTAATCACAAGGATTCTAAAAAAAGTAGCAAGAAGGTTAAGAGCAGAAAAAGGAGATGGGGCGCTGGAATGAGGTACACTGAAGATGGAGGAAGAGGCTCAAATCCAGAAATGCAGGCAGCCTCCAGAAGGAAACCCTGTTCCTTGATTTTAGCGTAGTGAAACTGACACCAAACTTGTAGGCTTCCAAAACTGTGATAAAATAAGTTTGTGTTGTTTTAAGCCATGCAGTTTGTGGTAATTTGTTAAAGTAATTTCAGCAAACTGATAGAGAATTCGATACCAGGAAGTATGGGGTGCTGCTGTAACCAATACCTAAAAATGCGAAAGTGACTTTAGGGTAATAGGTAGAGAATGGAAGAGTTTCGAGGAACATGCTTTCTAAAAAGCCTAGATTGGCTGGGCACGGTGGCTCAAGCCTGTAATCCCAGCACTTTGGGAGGCCGAGGTGGGTAGATCACCTGAGGTCAGAAGTTGGAGACCAGCCTAGCCAACATGGTGAAATCCCGTCTCTACTAAAAATATTAAAATTACCTGGGCGTGGTGGCATGTGCCTGTAGTCCCAGCTACATGGAAGGCTGAGGCAGGCGAATCACTTGAACCCAGGAGGCAAAGGTTGCAGTAAGCCAAGATCATGCCACTGCACTCCAGCCTGGGAGATAGAATGAGAAACCCCATCTCAAAAAAAAAAACAAAAAAACCTAGATTGCCTTGAACCGACTCTTAATAGAAATTTGGAAGTTAAAGACTGCCCTTGGGGGTTAAAAGGAAATGAGGAGCACAGTGGAGAACACCTACCATGGACTTCTTACCTACATCTTCATAAACTTTTGGTAGAAATACAGACATTAAAAGCATTGTTGGTGAGGCCTTAAAAGGAAGTGAGGAACATGTCCTTGGAAACAGGAGGAAAGGGGATTTGTGTTATATAGTGGCAGGAAGATTAGTTGCATTGTGTCCTACAGTTACATGGAAAGCAGAACTTATAAACAATGAATTTGGAATTTTGTTTGGATTATGAGATTTGGTTCTTGTGTGTGTGTGTGTGTGTATCTGTTTTGTTTTTTTGATATGGAGTCTTGCTCTGTTGCCCAGGCTGAAATGCAATGTCAAAATCTCAGCTCACTGCAACCTCCACCTCACTGGTTCAAGCGATTCTCCTGCCTTAGCTTTCTGAGTAGCTGGGATTATAGGCATGTGCCACCATGCCCAGGTAATTTGTGCATTTTTGGAAGAGATGAGGTTTCACCATATTGGCCAGGCTGGCCTCGAACTCCTGACCTCGTGGTCTGCCTGCCTCGGCCACCAAAGTATTGGGATTACAGGTGTGAGCCACTGTGCCAGGCCCTATTTTATCTTATTTTTGGAGTCAAAGTCTCACTCTGTTGTCCAGGTTGGAGTGCAGTGACACAATCTTGGCTCAATGCAACATCTGCCTCCTGGGTTCAATCAATTTTTGTACCTTAGCCTCCGTAGTAGCTGGGATTACAGGGGCTTATGAGGTTTCTGAGCAAAGTATTGTAGGTTTAGCCTGGTTTCTTCTTGCTTCTTATTACAAAGTGAGAAAAAAGAAAAATTGAAGAAAAAACTGTTTAGCAGAAAGGACTTGAAGATTCAGGAAATTCTCAGCCTGTCCAGATTGCAGAAGACTCTAGGCGGCTCACTCTCAGAAGAGCATGCCCTGGAGAGAAAGTCAACGTTTTGGCTGGATACCCTTTTCCTAGTGCCTTGGAAGGATCAAATGTCTCAGTATTCAGTCACATCAAGGGCTCCTTGAACACACTAAGCATAACGACTCTCTTTCAGCAGGAAGTTCCCCTGTTTAGGTTTAGTGTGTAGCTCCTCACCTCTTCTTGTAAGCTGAGGTTTCAATGACAGTTTACTTTTCAGAGCTGTTACAGTGCCATACTGCTTAGCTTCATTCTTCTGGTTCCACTGGGTCTCCCATTTAGTCTCTGCAGGTGTCACCTCAAGCCCAAGTCCTGTTGAGTGGGAAATTGGAAAAGTTGGCCTACAGTCGCTACACTGCAGCGGATTGGGCCTGCCATTGCCCCCAATGTCAGATAGGACACAACTGATACTGCCGCTGTGGTGAATTGGGCCCCTGATCCTGCAAGTATGAAACTGGGGGCGGGGTGGCGGGGGGTTGCTTCTGCTGCTACAGGTTTGGGGCAACAGATGGGTGCCCAGCTTCCGATGCAGATATATGGAGAGTAAAAAGAAAACTTGAGGGCCGGGTGCGGTGGCTCACGCCTATAATCCCAGCACTTTGGGAGGCCGAGGCGGGTGGATCACGAGGTCAAGAGATTGAGACCATCCTGGTCAACATCGTGAAACCCCGTCTCTACTATCTCTACTAAAAATACAAAAAATTAGCTGGACATCGTGGCGCATGCCTGTAATCCCAGCTACTCAGGAGGCTGAGGCAGGAGAATTGCCTGAACCCAGGAGGCGGAGCTTGTGTCAGAGCCAAGATCGCGCCATTGCACGCACTCCAGCCTGGGTAACAAGAGCGAAACTCTGTCTCAAAAAAAAAAAAAAAAAGAAAACTTGAGGTTACTCACTGTGGTGCTGCTACTCAGTCATGAATTCCTCAGCCAGTCTGCCTTTTGCTTTACATCTTTCAGAGTTAGGATTGTTTGTCAAATTATTTCCAGTTTCATGTTTATTATTTGGAACCAGTAGGGAAGAAGTTTGGTTTAACAAAGAAACGTCATGGATTGTCCTGGCCTGGATTGACGTTCAAAGTTGGGGGCGGGGCGAGGAAGATAAGATACTAATGAATTCTCATTACTGGTGGTTCTCAACAGTCTTAGAGCTTTATGATACTGATATTCTTAACAATGTTTTAATTAGAGGGGAAGAGCAGGCAAGAGCCTATGCCACCTTGTCCTGGAACTGAAAGGATACCAAATATTTTTTGCTACTACTTTCTTATGTTACTTAAACCTATTTCTATGTATAAAATCTGTTCTCTTAAGATAATAACATTTCAGAATTCTGTCTTTACATAAACGCATTTTTGTTGATTCTGTCCCTTAGAAAAGTTTTTGAGTTGGGCAGTCACTTGATGCTTTTGAATTTATATATGTTTTTTATAGATATTTATAAATGTATACTTATATATTTATAGATATGTATTTATAAATGTATACTTACATATTTATAGCTATGTATTTATAAATGTATACTTATATATTTATAGATATATATATATATTTATATATATACAAAATGTTGCAAGTTCTCGACCAAAACAGAATACAAAATGTTTCAGCTCCAAGTTTTACATAAACTCAACTGGAAGAGCAAGTTGGCAATCTGAGTTATTTCTAGTCTTTATTAAAAGTAAAATTTTCTTGTTAAGTATAGGGTTTATTAGTTCCTAAAACTTAGTCTAATAGAAATCAAGTGTTGTCTAAAGTACGTAAACATTTTTCTTTCTTGCCATCCAAGCTAGGAAGTTAATGTGTACCATCTGTTTGGTTTCTTCAAAGTTTTTTGGTTTTTCTTGAGACAGAGTTTCGCTCTTGTTTCCCAGGCTGGAGTGCAATGGTGTGATCTCAGCTCACCACAACCTCTGCCTCCTGGATTCAAGCAGTTCTCCTGCCTCAGCCTACCAAGTAGCTAGGATTACAGGCATGTGCCACCACGCCCAGCTAATTTTGTATTTTCAGTAGAGATGGTGTTTCTCCATGTTGTCAGGCTGGTCTTGAACTCCCAACCACAGGTGATCCTCTCGCCTCAGCCTCCCAAGTGTTGGGATTACAGGTTGAGCCACCACAACCGGCCTGAAGTTTTTAAAAATTCATTTTGGCAGGCAAATCACAATTATAGTCATCAGCCTTCACAATACATGTGATTTAACTTATGTTTTGCCATATGTATGCAAGAATACTTTGAAAATGCTAATTTGGTGGAAGGATACAATTGGTAAACTTCCCCTCAACTGCTTTTTTCTTACCCATTTAATAGGTTGCAAATTCAGAGACTATCATTTTGGATAATAATCCGGAGTCAGTTATCATTTTGGATAATAATCCGGAGTCAGTTGAAAGGTCTTCTGTGAATGATGAGACTTTTAACCCTTCAGAAAAAGAAAGTAAAAAAATTAAACTGTCACCAGATCAGAATGAATCTGTTTCTGAAAGGTAGGTATTTCTACAAAAATGCATAAATTTATCTAAATCTACAATAATGATTTTTTTCTTCATTACAGTTTTAGAGCTTTATAATATTGATCATTCTTAACATTTTCTCTTAAAGTATCCTATAGTTTTACTTTTATATATTAAAGTATACTTCAGTTTTGGGGTTATTTGAGATAGGGTCTGACCTTGTTTGCCCAGGCTGGAGTACAGTGGTACAGTCACAGCTCACTGCAGACTTGACATCGTGGGCTCAAGTGATCTTTCACCTCAGCCTCCCAAGTAGCTGGGACTACAGGCATGCATCACCACGCTGGGCTTATTTTTTGTAGGAGCCAGGTTTTGCCACTTTGCCCAGGCTGGTCTGGAATTCCTGAGTCAAGCAATCTGCCTGCCTCAGCCACCCAGAGTGCTGGGATTACAGGCATGAGCCACTGCTCCTGGACCTATACTTGAGATTTTAAAAAGAAGAAAACTTATCATCAAAAATAGGTAGGTTAAATGATGGCCATTGTTTGAAGAACACCACCCTTTCCCACAAGTAACTGCATACAGAAGGGGCTCTAAGACAAAGGAGAACCGAGGAGGAGGAGTACAGATCTAAACCATTTACAGTAGATTTTTGTTTTGGGGGATTTAACATGTAGTTATGACCCTTCAGGAGATGCTCTCGTAGTCTGTAATACCGTGGCCCACATTTTAGTTTTAAGTCAGGAAGCTGCTGTAAAGGAGGCATTTAGCTGAAGAAGGCAAAAGCCACATTTCAGTAACACTTTGTAGTGACCCCTTATTGATGTGTGTGCTGACACTCATGAAATAACAAAAAAGAAAAAATGCTAGTGATGTAAGTGAAAAAGACACCATTAAAATAGCGCTTTATAGACAAATATGTCCAATTTAGCTGTGGTTTGTATCTTTTATGAACAAATCTATCTCATGTTCTATTCTGAAGGAAGAACCCTGCAATTTATAAAACTGTTTGAGGCAGCACTCTCAGTCCATGGTGAATGTGCAAATAGGTGTAACAAATGTGTAACATGATTTTGATGGCTTTAATGGTGAGTTTCATAAAACATTTAAGCCAGAATAACACCAGCGTTAAGCAAACTCTTCCAAAGAATAGAAAAAGAGGGAATGTTCTTCACTTCATTTTATGAGACACCATAACATCTTACAGAAATGGAAATTTACAGCCTGCTTTAAATCACAAAATAGATGCAGGTGTCCTACCAAATTTAGTAGGCTCATGCCTGTCATCCCAGCACTTGGAGAGGCCAAGGCAGGTGGATCACAAGATTAGTTGTTCAAGATTAGCCTGGCCATGATGATGAAATCCTTTCTCTACTAAAAATACAAACATGAGCCAGGCGTGGTGGCGGGCCCCTGTAATCCCAGCTACTCAGGAGGCTGAGGCAGAGAATTGTTTGAACCCAGAAGGCAGAGATTGCAGTGAGCCAATATCATGCCACTGCATTCCAGCCTGAGTGACAGAGCCAGACTCTGTCTCAAAAAAAAAAAAGTTTTCACTTTGTTCAAGTTAATTTTATAGAGTACAGTTTCAGTCAGTATCTCAGTGTGTAATTTTATGGAACTTAACCTTCTGTGATTCTAAAATGTGTATGTAAATTCAATGAGGTGAGAGGTCAAGATACTCTAGAGAATCAAAACGGAAGGAATTTGCCATCAGATGGAGGGTATTACAGAGCTATAGTAATATAGTATGAGATTGTTAGACTGATCTATTTGTCTAGGACGTGCCAAAGAGTCCAGAAACCTATGTATATATGTACTTGTGATAACTGACTTTTAGTAAACAATGTCATTTTGTTTGCTCTTTATGTTGGGAGAAATATGAAATTGGACCCCTATGTCAAGCAATACAAAAAAACTAATCTCATGTGGATTAAGGAACTAAAAATATCTCAAGGAAATCGTAAAGCTTTTAGGATATAGAATGTCTTCATGAACGTGGATAGGGAAAGATTTCTTAGGACATAAATGCCCTTGCCATAAAAGAAGAAGTAATTTTACCACATTATTTCTCAAAAGAGACTATAAAGATAGTGAGAAGACAGGCCATCTGAGGTGAAGATACTCACAGCACATATAACCTGTAGAGTACTAGTACCTACAATATGTATAAAGAACTTCAACAAATTAATGAGTAAAAGCCAGATAATACAAGAGAAAAATGGGCACAAGACTTGTGCATCCACTTCACAAAAGAGGAGTTTGAAATGGCCAATGATCATATGAAAAGGTGTTCATTTTCATTAGTAATCAGGGAAATGCAAATTAAAACCACAATGAGATATTTCATGAGATAAGGAAAAAATACATTTAAAATTCTGACTACTGGGTTTCAGTGAGGTTTTGAAATAAAGGAAATTGTATTTATTTAATATTATGTTGTTGGGATATAAATTGGTATAGTACTCAAAGAAAATTGACATTATCTGGAAATATCAAAGATTTGAATATCCTTTAACCTGGCAGTCCCACCTCTTGATAACCCTAGTTAGACGTATATCTATTGTATGTAGATATACAATAGAATGTATGTATGGGAATGTTTATTAGCAGCAGTTTTCGTAACAGCCAAAAACTGGAAGGAAAAAGTACCCATCTATAGTTGAAAAAGAAATTACAGTAAATCCATAAAGTGGAATATTGTACATTAATTAAAATGAAGGAACTGCATTCACATGCAGTAGTATGGGTTATTCCAACAAAGTATGATTCCATTTAAATTAAATTCAAAAATAACCAGAAAGTGCATGCTTCAGGAATTCTAAGCTGGATAGTAAATCTATAGAGTAAAACAAGGAGATTAGTACCACATACGCTATGTATGGGGAGGAAGTTTATGATATAGAATAGAAGCATAGGGGTTTCTGAAGTGCTGATAATTTACCTAAATAGTGGCTACATGGGCACTAGCATGGTAATTACTTAATGGAAAATACATACTTTAATATAATCTGGAAATAACCTTTTAATCAGAAAAGTTATTTATGCTTAGTGTAACTTTAATGATGTGTAAGGTTCATCTTTACAATCTTACTACCAGTTTTCTATTTGTCCTGTTTTATGGTCCTTTTCCTCATATGTATCTCTGTCTCTCTGTTTTAGCCATCTTTTGGATTATTCTTTCTTTCCATTTTCCATTACCTTTTAAAATTACACTGTTTTCAGTGTTCTTTAGAAGTCATACTAAGATCATGATAGGGAGTCTTTACTCATTGGAGTCTTAATATGCAGTCCTGCTTCTGCTGTTTTATAGACAATGCTTGCTCTTAGCTTTATTGACTCTTTAGTTCATGGACATTTATCGCAGATTAGGGAAAATATAAATGGTGCTACTGTGAACATTCTTTTACATGTCTTTTGATGAATGTACATATGAACACTTCTGTTGGACATATGCCTAGAAGTGGAATTGCTAGGTCATAAGGTATGTATCTCTTGAGGTCTAATAGACACCACCAACCAGTTTACCACAAAAGTTGTACCAAGTATACTCCCACTATGAGTACATGAGATTCTTGTTACTGCATATCCTTGTTAACTCCTGGTCATATCTCTTTCTTTTTACCCATGCTGGTGTATAGCATTACATTGTGGTTTTAATTTCTATTTCCTTCTAATAATGAAAATTAAGCAAATTTGCATGTTTGTTAGCCATTTGGATGTCTTCTTTATTTTTTGCTTTGTCTTTTCAAGTGTTTTTACCAGATACGTTTATTATAAATATCTTTCCTGACCCAAAGTCTTCTTGTTTCCCTAATGGTGTCTTATATGAACCAACTGTACTTAATTTCAGTGTTGTCTTTTTTATATAGATTCTGCTTTTCTGATGAATGCCCCATCTGTTTTAACTGTTTTCTCCATCTTTTGTATTTTTTAAATTATTAATCAGTTATTTTAATGCTCTTGTTTTAACTCCAGTATTTGGATCACCTGTGCATTTGTTTCTGTTTTTCTGCCAGTCTTCAGTCTTTTTTGGCATGCTTGATAGTCTGAAAAATTGTTGAGGCACTAAGTGATATCTTACCATAAAACAAGATAGGCTTGTGGTAATTTTGGTAAGGCTCCTTCTACCTCTAGTTCACTCTGGTCCCTAAGACATAGCCTACCATGGATCCCATCTGAAAGCTTGGACTGTCTGCCAGGGCTTCTTTACCTTGGTGGGTCCCAGATATTAATCCTTACCTCCTAAGTACTTAAAAATTTTTTATGGATTAGCAGCAAAAAATAGAGCTATCAGTCTTTCATCCAATTTATGACTGCCATTACTAGAATACAAAAATATATACAAGAGAAATTTGACAAAAGAAATTACTAGAAGGCAAAGTAGATAGAAAATCAAATATTCTTTCTGGTTTTTTTTTGAGATGGAGTCTCGCTCTGTCACCTAGGCTGGAGTGCAGTCGTGCAGTCTTGGCTCACTGCACCCTCTGCCTCACGAGTTCAAGCGATTCTTCTGCCTCAGCCTCCCAAGTAGAGCTCTCACCACACCTGGCTAATTTTTTGTATTTTTAGTAGAGAGAGGCTTTCACCATGTTATCCTGGCTGGTCTCAAACTCCTGACCTCAGGTGATCCACCTGCCTCCCAAAGTACTGGGATTACAGGCATGGCGCTCAGCTGAAAAGCAAATATTCTTAATAAAATCTAGATTTAAGTATTTGCTTTTGTTTCTTAGTTAGAAATAATGACAACAGTTGAGGAAAGTGTGAATGTAAGAGAAATGGAAAATACAGAAGACCCAAGTTGAATATGTAGAAATGAAAAATATTATAACTAAAGTGAAAAATAGACTGTGCAGAATTAATAACAGAGTAGTTAAGTATTGATTTCTTTTTAAGTATCAGTAAAATAGGTATGGAAAATGTTCAGAAGAAAAAGACTGAAAAAACAATGAACAGAGCGTCAGAGATCTATGGAACAGTATAAACAGTTAATACACATATTATTGGAGTATCACCAAGGCAGGGGCTGAGCAAATGCTTGAAGATACAATGTCTGAAAATTTTCCATAGTTGATACAAATTCTAAACCCATAAATGAAAAAAGTTAACAAGTCCCAAGCAGAAGAAACATAAAAGCATAGAAAATCACATCATCAGATTGCTGAAAATCAGCAGTAAAGAAAAAATTTTAAAAAGTAGCCACACAAAAGACACATCAGGTAGAACAGAACAAAAAGTAAGAATGGCAACAGACTTCTTGCTGTAACCTGTGCAAACTATAAAGCATCTCTAAAATTTTAAGATAATACATACTTAAAAGGATTGAAAGGTTAAAAAAAAAAGTCCATTCAGAATTCTATACCCAGTAAAATTATGTTTCAAAATTGTAGGGGGAAAACAGACTTTTTTAAACCAAAAAAAGGTGAGAGAATATATCTTCAACAGACCTACACTATAAGAAATTTTGAAGGAGATTTTTCAGGCAAAAGGAAAATAGTATTAGATCGAAATTTGATTCTGTACAAACTAATATAGAGTGACAGACATGGTAAATATGGCAAAAAGTTTCTATATAGTGTATACACATCACACACACACTATATAGAAACACTACATCCTACATATTTGAATATATATAGTTTAGAAATTATATATACACACAAGCAAGAAACAATTGGAATTTGAAATTTAAAGTGAATGCCATTTACAGTAACATCAGAGAACATAATATATTTGGGGATAAACCAAAACCACCTAACCTAAAATTGTAAAGTATTACTGAAGAATTTAAGGAGACCTAAATAAGTGGTGAGGTATGCAACTTTCATGAACCAGAAAATTCACTGTTAAGACGTTACCTCACTGCAAATTGCATATCAGTCAGTGTCTCATCCATTTTTGTAGAAAGTAACAAACTGATTAAAAAGTTTAGGCCAGGCATGATGGTTTACATTTATAATCCCACAGCACCTTGGGAGGCTAGGGCAAGAGGATCGCTTGTGGCCAGGAGTTCAAGACCAGCCTGGCCAACATAAACAGTTTAATTTTTTTTTAAAAAATTAGGCCTGGTGACACATGCCTGTCATCCCAGCTACTTAGGAGGCTGAGGCAAGAGGATCCTTTGACTCCAGGAGGTCCAGGCTGCAGCAAAATACATTTGTACCACTGCACTCCAGCCTGGGAAGACAGAGCAAGAGTGTCTCTTTTTAAAAAACTTATATATATATACATATATACACACACACACACACACACACACACACGTGAAAATGCAAATAGCTAGAAGATGAAAACGGTGTTGGGAAAGAACAAAGTTAGAAGACTACACCATCTTTGTTCAGGACTTAACTATAAAGCTATAGTAGTAAGATGGTGGTTTGGCACAGGAATAGGCATGTTGACTAATTGACACACTAGAGAATGCACATGTAGTTCATTGGTTACAACAAAGGTACTAAGGTAGCTTATCAGGAAAAGACAGTTTTTTCCACAAAAGTTGCTGGAATAGAGGGAAAAGTGAACCTCAGCTCTTACTTCATACCATAAACAAAAATTAACTCAAATGGATCATAGACCTAAATACAAACAGTAAAAGTATAAGATGTTTACAAGAAAATGGTATAATTGAGCTGGGCACAGTGGCTCATGCCTGTCATCCCAGCACTTAGGGAGGCTGAGGCAGGCAGATCCCCTGAGATCAGGAGGTCGAGACCATCCTGACCAACATGGTGAAACCCCATCTCTACTAAAAATACAAACGTTAGCCAGGGGTGGTGGCATATGCCTGTAATCCCAGCTACTTGAGAGGGTGAGGCAAGAGAATCTCTTGAACCCGGGAGGTAGAGGTTGCAGTGAGCTGAGATCACCCCCATTGCACTTCAGCTTGGACAACAAGAGTGAAACTCCATCGCAAAAAAAACATAAAAGTTGAACTTGTAAAAACAAAAACATTCAGGGTCAAAATGGCTCAGAATATTCTGTAACCATAATCAGCATCATTTTTCATTATTGCCTCAATTAAAAACATTTGTGGTAAATATTGCTACTGGAGAGATACAATAAAGAGTGGTAGCAGTTCTTTTTATAATAATTTTCTTTAAGAGCCCAGGTCTCTTTATGGTTTTCAATAGATTTCTCTCAGTTACATGATGTTTCATTTTTATAAAGGCCAATATATATGCTCAAGTGATACTTGTGTGTTTTACATATTTATGTCCATTGTACATTATACATATTTTTTGAATCATGAATAGATCCCTACTACATTTTATGGTTCTATTATTGGATTTTCATTACCTTTTGGTCATATAACCGAATTGGTAATAAATGGAGGTTTTTTTTGGGAGGGGCATTTAGTTTTACCATTTCTATTTGCCCCCACGATTGTTCAATTAAAACATTATAAAATGTTAAGTTAGAGGACTTCTAACCACTAATTGCATGTTTACGCCTGATAATGCATGTTTAGTTTTTGTTTTTAATTTCTTTTTATCATTTTAGTAACAATGATGATGTTATGTTGATTTCTGTGGAAAGTCCTAATTTGACAACTCCAATTACATCAAATCAAACAGGTATCTTAAGCTGATTAGAATATGATCTATCAAGTTAGAAGGCCTTAAATTAATGTTTGCTTAATTTATGTCATGGTTAATATTTCATTTTAACCTTGTGTTTTATCAGTTTATGGCCTTTTGTTTCTTTTACATGTTTAATGACTTTGTAAGTTGTAAAACTACTTAACTTTTATGTACGTTATTTTTAATCATTTGACCTGGCCTTTTATTGATGGTAGTGATGGTTTGTTTTTTGTGTTTTTGTTTTTTATATATTATCTTATAGTCTACTTCAGTTTTAAAGTTTGTCTAGTCAGTCTGGACATGGTGGCTCATGCCTGTAATCCCAGCTCTTTGGGAGGCTGAAGCAGGCAGATCACGAGATCAAGAGTTTGAGACCAGCCTGGCCAACATGGTGAAACCCTGTCTCTACCAAGAATACAAAAATTAGCCAGGTGTGGTGGTGCATGCCTGTCATCCCAGCTACTCGGGAGGCTGAGGCAGGAGAATTGCTTCCACCCAGGAAATGGAGGTTGCAGTGAGCTGAGATCATGCCACTGCACTCCAGCCCGGGCGACAGAGCAAGACTCCCTCTCAAAAAAAAAAAAAAAATTACCCTTAGATTTCCAATGGTAACTTCTCTCTCTCTCAAAAATGCCCATCTTGTTTGGCTCATAATTTCTCATCTAAAATTTCCCATTTTCATTTCATTTTCTACTATATTAGAGAATTTGCATCTTAATTTTAAAAGCTTAGCTTCCACTTAATCCTACTTAATTATCCCCACAGTTTGGGCTGTTAAGATTGTGAATACAGAGAGTTAAAAAGGACGTTAAGCATTTATCTGAGGCTTCCTACTGGTTCCAGGAAGAGTGCTTCAAAGCCATGTCAGGCAGTTTTAGTCTAAAGATACTGTGAATTAAAAGTATGTGTATTTCCAAGTGTATTTTCTCATGCAAATTTACAGGTAAATTTAAAAAAATAAGACCGTTACCAATATAGGTGTAAAGTTACAGAAAGAAAAAATTGTTTGACCCAAAACTACATTTTCTTAAAAAAAATTCCATTGTCAGTCTTTGGAATAGGTAAAGTCAATTGAGTTACTTTTTATAATTATATAATTAACAGCTGATTAGTATCTATTTTGTTTTAGTGTTCATATTTCACAAAGTCCATAACTATTGTTTAATAAATCTGTCAAATATCTAATTTCCTTCAGATACCAGAAGTACTACATCAGGATATTCCAGCAGTTCTCCCAATGCTGAAGTTATGGTGGGTAATAAATACTGACTCTGAATATTGTTCATTTAAATATACTAGTTCAAGGAACTTTTAGTGTTTGCTACATGGTGGATGATTTAGTTTTAGTCCAACTTATATATTGAAAAGGAGACCGCTAATAAGCATATTTTATAATGATACTATTTTATAAGAGCTTTTTAATAGTAGAGTTAAACCACAAGAGTCTTGAGAATGTTCCATCTGGTTTCTAAATGGTAATTTAAAATTTCATTTTTAAATTTTTAAAAACTTTCAGCTATTGAGGCAAAGTTTTATTTTTTATTAACAATTTTTTAGGTTGTACAGAAGAAACCTGATTCTGTAATTGATTTGACAAAAGAAGGCCTCTCCAACTACAATACAGGTAAAAGGATTTTTTAGATCTTTTTTTTTAAAAAGGACAGAAGGGTAACAACTCACAGTGCACTGGGCCCACTTATCAAATTTGTTTTAATACGTTAGTGTATGTTTATGCAGTTTTAGCACATGTGCAGATTCATGAACTTCCATCATAGTCAAAGTACAGAATTGTTCTGCCGCTACAAGGCTCCTTCATGCTACCCCTTTATACTTAACACCTTGTTTCTGCCCAGACCCTGGCAACCACCAGTCTGTTCTGTACTATAATTATGTTATATGAATTTGATAACATAGTATGTGTCCTTCTGAAATTGACTTCTTTCATTCAGCATAATGCTGAGTGTCATCCCCATTGTTGTGTATCAGTAGTGTGTTCCTCTTTATTGCCAAGAGTAGCCTGTGGTGTGGATGCATCACAGTTTGTTTATTCATAAATTCATTGAAAGATCTGGCTTATTTGGGACTTCTACAAATTTCTTTTCTTCCTTTGGTACGTACTTTTTAGTATAGTACCTGAGAGGACACATAGCGAAGCATAAACTGGGGTATAACATGAAAATGTAGAGAGAATGACAACAGTGTCTCATCTTGCAGGGATTTAAGGAAAAAGAAGTGAAATACAGTCGTGGGGCTGAGATCAGTTATAGGGTCTCATTCAAATTTAATGAAAAATATAAACCCACATATCCAAGATGTTTAATAAACTCCACGTAGGATAAACACAAAAGAAATCATACCAAGACATATCATAGTCAAGTTCCTGAAATCCAGTGATAAGGAGAAAGATGAAATTACAATGTAGATAAAAGAACAAAGAATTCACAGATTTCTAGGCTAGAATGCAGGCCAAAGGACAATTGAGTAACTTCATTAAAAGACTGGGGGAAAATACCTGTCAACCTATAATTCTTTATCTAGAGAATAAGTCTTTCAAAAATGAAAGCAGCTTTTGGAGGGCAGGGCAGGAGGATGGCTTGAGTCCATGAGTTTGAGAACATTCTAGGCAACATAGCAAAACCCATCTCTACAAAAATTAATTAAAGCAGAATTAAAATTTTTCAGATCAACAAATTTGTCGCCAGCAGACCTTTACTATCAGAAATAAAGGAAATTCTTCAAGTGATAGTAAAAGATACCAGATGGAAAGTAGATCTACACAAAGGAATACAACTATATTATAGAATTTATGTAGAAGAAGATGAAAACAGTAGTGCAAAAGATAGTCACAGGATTGAAAGTATGCTGTTAATAAGGCTCTTGAGTGGTATCATGTTATTTGAAACTAGACTATGATAAGTTAAAGATACATATGGTAATGCCTAAGCAACAATTTTTTCTTTTAAATAGAAGTAAAGCTATAGTGATGATAAAGTGTAATTTTTTAAATATGCAATCTAAGAAGCCAAAAAAGAAAGCAAAGAACAAGAGTCATAGAGAACAAAAGGCAAAATGATCAACTTAAACCCAGCCACAATTATAATAAATGTAAATGGTCTAAACACTCCACTGAAAAGCATTGTTACACTGGAGATAAAAGACCCAACTTTGATTATAAGAGATGTACTTTAAAAAGGAAATAAACATTAAAATCAGGTTAGAATGAAAGTCCTTATTATCATAAAGTTGAGTTTCTTTTGTAGTCTGTTTTAATTTGCCACAGGTCTGTTGACTTACTGCCTTGGAAGAAGGAATCTTATTTATAAGAAATTATATTTGTTTAGGATATTTTAAATACTCAGCTGTTGGCTAAAAATGTAAAGCAGGTTATTTGTATCGTTCTTAACCTGTGAATTATAATTTTACAAATCTGTCTCTTATTAAACAAGTACAAAACAGCTGAACAGACTGCAGATTAAAATAATAAAGCCATTACTTCTTCTAGGAAGGTTTTGTAAACAATGCAGAATCTCGTTCATCCTTGACAAAAGAAAAATGATTTGAATAGTTGTATCACAGGATATAAATGGACTTTTGAATAGTTGTATCACAGGATATAAATGGACTTAAAATGATTTTTACTGCTTAATTCTGGAATTTTTAGCTACGCAACTTTCATACTTTCCAGTATAAACCCTGTTTTCTTAACCGTCCCTGTATTTACTCTCTTAATTTTTTTTGTTTTAAACTTTGTGCTCTGGGGTACACGTGCAGGATGTGCAGGTTTGTTACATAGGTAAAGGTATGCCATGGTGGTTTGCTGCACCAATCAACCCATCGTCCAGGTATTAAGCGTAGCATGAATTAGGTATTTTTCCTAATGCTCTCTCCACCCACTGCGTTTCCCCAACAGGCCTAGTGTGTGTTGTTCCTCTCCCTGTTTCCATGTATTCTCATTCTTCAGCTCCCACATATAAGTGAAAACATGTGGTGTTTAGTTTTCTGTTCCTGCATTACTTTGCTGAGGATAATGGCTTACAGCTCCATCCATGTCTCTGCAAAGCACAGGATCTCCATTTTTTTAAAAAAAAAAAAAAAAAAAAAAAAAGGAGTCTTGCTGTCGCCAGACTGGAGTGCAGTGGTGCAACCTCTGCATCCCCACCCAGTTCAAACAATTCCCGTGCCTCAGCCTCGAAAGTAGCTGGGACTACAGGCACATACCATCATGGCTGGCGAATTTTCTTTTTTTTTGTATTTTAGTAAAGGCTGGGTTTCACCATGTTAGCCAGATGGTCTCAATCTCCTGACCTCATGATCTGCTCGCCTCAGCCTCCCAACTGTTCCTTTTTATGACTGCATACTATTCCATGGTGTATATGTACCACATTTTCATTATCTAGTCAATCACTGATAGGCCTTTGGGTTGATTCCATGTCTTTGCTATTGTGAATATTGCTGCAGTGAACATATACATGTGTCTTTATAATAGAATGATTTATATTCCTTTGGATATATATCCAGTAATGAGACTGCTGGGTCAAATTGCAATTTTGTGATTAAATCGCCAAAAGCAATTGCAACAAAGCAAAAATTGACAAATGGTATCTAATTAAAGAGCTTCTGTACTGCAAAAGAAACTATCATCAGAGCAAACAGACAACATACAGAATGGGAGAAAATTTTTGTAATCTGTTCATCTGACCAAAGTCTAATATCTAGAATCTAAAAGGAACTTAAATTTACAAGAAAAAAAACCCCATTAGAAAAAAAACACCTCATTAAAAAGTGGACAAAAGACATGAACAGACGTTTCTCAAAAGAAAACATACATGCAGCTAACAAACATGAAAAAAAACTCCCCATCACTGCTCATCAGATTAATGCAAATCAAAACCATGATGAGGTACCGTCTCACATCAGTCAGAATGTTGATTATTAAAAAGTCAAAACAACAGATGCTGGCAAGGTTGTGGAGAAATAGGAATGTGTTTACACTATTTGTGGGAATGTAAATTAGCAATGTAAATTAGTTCAACCATTGTGGAAGACAGTCTGGTGATTCCTCAGTGATTTAGAACTGGAAATACTGTTATTTGTTGTTGGGGTTTTTTTTGGTTGTTTTTTTTTTTTGAGTCCCTTTTTTTTTTTTCCTGTCTTCTGTGAGCAGGCTGGAGTGCAGTGGCATGATCTTGGCTCACTTCAACCTCCACCTCTCAGGTTTAAGCAATTCTCCTATCTCAGCCTCCCGAGTAGCTAGGAGGAAAGGCATGTACCACCATGCCCGGCTAATTTTGTATTTTTAGTAGAGAGGGGTTTCACTGTGTTGCCCAGGCTGATCTGGAACTTGTGACCTTAAGTCATCTACCCTCCTCAGTGCCCCAAAGTTCTGGGATGACAGGCGTGAGCCACTATGCCCAGCCTGCCCAGGTGTCTTCAATCCATTCTTTTACTTACTTGTACCTTCTTTTCCTGCCACCCACCTACATTTTTCTTGTTTGCCTCCTTTCTTCCTCTCACCATCTGTTTTATTTTCCTTTCTGTTTCTCCTCCTTCCCCTGTTCTTTTCCCCAGTCTACATCATTTTTCGTTTGAGTTCCTACAACTTGGGTATAGATTAAATGGCTCTGTGTTTGTGGACATCTTTGTTGGCCAAACAAGAAAATTTGCCTCTAATCATTGATCAGAGATCTCTGTCCCATGTGTAAATGTACCTAGTTCCCAGTTGCATAATGACTAAAGTGTTTACCTCAAGAGGGAAATTTTTGTCAGCTTAAAAATGTTACCTCCGTATCTTGACTTTTAGTTAAGTACATCTTCATAATTCACAGTTTTATGATTTTAATTCACATTTAATTACCACCAAATATGTAAACTATATGCTTAAAGGCTATGGAATTGATTACTGCAGATAAAATTTACTTCTTAAACCTTGTATTGTTCACAGAAAGTCCAGTATCTACCCTGGAGTCACCTGTGAAAGCTGTTTTAAGCTCAAAAGAAACAATCCCAGTGGCACCAAATGCAGCCCAGGTACTGATACCAAGTGCTCCGTAAGGGATATTTATTCCAAATTGAGCGGGAAGTACCCATTTTACTCTTAAAGGAACATTTGGGTCACATTTCAGCTTAGAAAACAATTTAATGTGCTGTTGTGAATCTACTTATTTACACAATTAAAAGTTACTCAGTTGAGTTTTACAGTAGCTACAGAAATTAAAACAAATTTTTTTTTTAATTGAACTAACTGGAAAAGAAGCAATAGCCATTGTTGATGAGGATGGGAGGAAAAGGATATTCTCAGACACTGACACTTTTTTTTTTTTTTGGAGACCAAATCTCACTCTGTGGCTCAGGCTAGAGTATGGTGGTGTGATCAAGGCTCACTGTAACCATCTCCTGGGTTCAAGCGATTCCCCTGCCTCAGCTTCCGAGTAGCTTGGATTACAGACACATACCACCATACTCAACTAATTTTTTTATTTTTAGTAGAGACTGGGTTTCGCCATGTTGATCAGACTGGTCTTGAACTCCTAAACTCAGGTGATCCACCCACCTCAGCCTCCCAAAGTGCTGAGATTACAGGTATGAGCCGCTGTGCCTAGCCACACTGACACTTTTTATGTAAATTAGTACAGTGTTTTAGAACACAATTTGGAAGTGAGATAGAAGATTTATCCTACATGTCTAGAACCTAACCCATTCTGGATTAGTGATATTCCAGAGTGCACAGATCTTAAATCCAATACAGGGTTAGGGTTAAGGCACTAGATTCAGCCTCACATATTATTGAAATATCCTTTTATTATTTTGATAAATGAAGAATGGGAAATACATATTTGTACAACTGCAGTTGACCACTATAAAAGCTAAAATTTCTTACAATGGTATTTTTAGGTTCCTGAGTTCTTCGAGCACCTGCCACCTCTCCCGGAACCACCACCACCACTGCCTGAATTAGGAGACAAAATCCGAGACACACTTCCTCCCCAGAAGCCTGAGCTCAAAGTGAAACGGGTTTTTAGACCCAATGGCATTGCCCTGACTTGGAATATAACCAAAATCAATCCCAAGTGTGCGCCTGTAGAAAGCTACCACCTCTTCCTGTGTCATGAGAACCCTAATAATAAGTTGATTTGGAAGAAGATTGGAGAAATTAAAGCTTTACCACTCCCAATGGCCTGTACTTTATCTCAGTTTTTAGCTTCCAACAAATATTATTTTACTGTCCAATCAAAAGATATTTTTGGACGATACGGACCATTCTGTGACATAAAATCTATCCCTGGGTTTTCTGAAAATCTTACCTAAAAGGTCTTCAGTAATTATGATACTTTTTTTTCATATTTGTTTACAATGTTACTGTAACAGTATTTGCCATTGTAAAAGGCCAGCTCAGATTGTGAACCCTTTCTACTGGGACAATCCTTTTCTCTATGTTAAGTGGCCAGTAATTTGATGAATTGTTGATTTGTATTAAATATGTCCTTCCAGTGGATAAGTTCTAAAACATATGCTGTCATGGGCCTGTGTTGCTGTGGTGTGTTGTGAACAATACCTTTGGCGACTGTGGAACTGCTGCTTCTATCAGAAGAACTAGGATACAAGCAGCCACTGTTTCTACCATTCGTAATCCACTTTTAGTGATCTCCTGTGGTCAGCATAGCTACAGGAAAAATCAACTCTTGACTGAGGGCCAGATCATCCCTGGGGTACACCTCTACTAAGATAAAAATAAGTTACTAAAAGTGGTGTTTGTAAAAATAAATTACAAATTTTTTTTTTTTTTAAGATGGAGTCTCACTCCATTGCCCAGGCTGGAGTGCAGTGCTGTGATCTCAGCTCACTGCAGCCTCCACCTCCCAGGTTCAAGCAGTTCTCCTGTCACAGCCTCCCAAGTAGCTGGTACAGGCACCTGCCACCATGCCTGGCTAATTTTTGTATTTTTAGTAGAGACAGGGTTTCACCTTGGTGGTCAGGCTGGTCTCGAACTCCTGACCTCAGGTGATCCACCCGCCTCAGCCTCCCAAAGTGTTGGGATTACAGGCATTAGCCACTGTGACCAGCCAAAAATTAAAAGATTTGGTGAAAAGAAATGGCTTCCCATTCTATTCAGCTTGCAAGTGGGCTATTCATTTGTGCCCCTCCTTCTCTTTTTTGTTTTCTTTTGCACTATGTCAGTTATTTGGGGAAATAGCCTGGAGGTTTTCCCTAAATCTATCTGTTCATAGATTTACACATAATAAAATTTGTTAAACATTGTGTGCTGTGTACACAAAACCATATCTTACGAAAGTGTTATCCATCCTGCTGTTTCAGTTGAGAATGGATTTTCCACCTTAGAGATGAGCCTTTAGTTTGCTGATTTCCTAGATGCTACCCTTTGAGCATTTCCTGGCAGCCCTCAGTCTTCAGAATGCAATACTAAGGAGCTCAGATTGATGTGTCTTGTGCCCCCCTCTTCCTGAGAAGAGACGGAAGTGGAGCTGTTACTAGTACAAGCAGCCTAATTAACTGAACAGAGATTTGGTAAGTCAGGGCCCAGTGGAGGCAAACTTTAAAAAATATCTGGGATGATAAGAATCAAAAATAATCCTAAATGTTTGAAAGTTTAAAAGAGGCATTTTTTTCCATGGTACATGATGAAAGTTCAGGCCTCAAAGGCTCAAAGTAGGGAATGGTTTTCCCTGGCATTTTGTAAATGCTCACATCTTAAGTAATAAAGCTGTTATTTTTTTGCAGTCTCCTGTGTCTTTAAGAAAATTGCAACTGAAAGAGCCAGATTCTCATTCATGAAAGGAACTACCCTGTGAGCTCTCATTTCCAGCTCAGAGCAAGCAACTCACCCTGGGTGAGGATTTCACCCTGTGATTGCCATGGTCTAGACATTCACCCACTGTGAAGCCCAAAGACACAGCCCACAAACAAGATTTTGGTACCCATCACCAAGTGAACCTACATCTGCAACCAGTGTGCCATTTGGAAGGATGATAGATGCCCAAGTCTCTAGCAAATCAGCCTTTATGATCACAGGATAAGGGAGAAAGGCTGACAGCAAATATCTTAGAGGTGGTACCTCAGAAAGCATTACAGTTTTGCCTTTTGGAGAGGCAGGGGCAAGATCAACTGTTCTTTTGATCATTTGTTTTTCAGATAGGGTCTGTTCCCCAGGCCGGAGTGCAGTGGCACCACCATCAGTGTCCCTGCAGCCTCCACTTCTTGGGCTCAGGTGATCCTCCTGCCTTAGCCCCTCAAGTAGCTGGGACTGCAGGCGTGCACCACCATGCATGGCTAGTTTTTTTGAATTTTAGTATTGATGAGGTCTCACTGTGTTGCCCAACCCGGTCTCAAACTCAAACTCAAGGGATCCTTCTGCCTCAGCCTCCCAGAGTGCTTGGATTATAGGCAGATCCTCAACTGGGTTTTTGTTGTTTTGTGTTTTGATATGGAATCTCCCTCTGTTGCCCCAGGCTGGAGTGCAATGGCATAATCTCGGCTCACTGCAACCGCCACCTCCCGGGTTCAAGCAATTCTGCCTCAGCCTCCCAAGTAGCTAGAACTGTAGGTACCCGCCACCACACCTGGCTAATTTTTTGTATTTTAGTAGAGATGGGGTTTCACTATCTTGGCCAGGATGCTTTCTATCTCCTGACCTCGTGATCCACCCTCGTTAGCCTCCCAGAGTGCTGGTATTAGGTGTGAGCCACTGTGCCCAGCCAGATCCTCAAGTGTTAAAACACGAGTGACACCAGGAAGGAGCCAGCCAGCCTAAGGACAAGAAAGTCCTGCTAGAAGCACAGACAGTACTGAGAACCCACCCCACAAAATGCTTCCTAGACTTCACTGGGAAGCCTTTATACCTTCATCAAGTAATGGAATCAGTGATGAGTGAAAATTGAATACATTGAGAAAAGGCTATGGAGGGTCCCATGGAATCGTCAGGAATCCTAGAGACTCAAAAAATGCTTTGCAGCAACCTGATGACATTTCAAACCTAATACAGTTTATGCAATTCACATTCTACATAATGATATGTTAGACATTGTATGCCCATTTTAAAAATGGAGAGACAGGTCCAGAGAGCTTAGGAGACTGGCACAAGGTCACAGAGGCCCAGGGAATAATTTGAGCCAGGATTTAAAACCAGCTCAATGGTTCTGATTCATGCTGTGTAGTCTTTGGGAACCAGACTGAAAGAATGGTGAGAATTCAGTCTTTGCTGCCTTGTGGCTGCAGATTAAAATCCCAGCATCTGACTGTCTTATCCTAGGGCATATATCAAAGCCACAAGGTGACTTGCGGAAGCAAACCTCAGGCATTTCTTATCTTTACTGAGAGGTATACACAAGGTAAGTGGAGTGGCTCTGGACTGTGTCCTTGTAGCTAAGCTAGAACTCCCCAGGATTTCCTTCCCTGGCTGGTTCAAGGTTAGCATTGATCATGAGACATTGCCTGAGATTTGCAAAGCAGAAGTGAAATGACATCACGTATCTTAGGTTCTCAAGGGCAGTGCAGGACATCAGAAAGAAGCAGCTGGTATGCCTTGTTGCTGATCTGCTAGTTGATGGACCTGCAGCTGCCACCAGAGCCACCTCCAGCCTGTCCCAAGTACAGGGCACATACAGGTGCTGCTGCCTGTTTTTCCCACATCCCATCATTTCTGTGGCTTCAAGGTGGGATTGGTAACCCAGGTTCCAGTTTGTACTTGCTCCCATCCACATCCAACCTTCCTCCCCAACAGTCTGCCTCCTGGCTGACCGATGGTGACGCTAGGCTCCACAACAGACACAGAGGGAACAGTTTGTGTGGCCTTCTCCACCAGCTCTCACATGGGAACAATTCTAGCTCCATGAGAGATCTAGATGGCTGTCTCCCTGAGACAATGGGGACTCCCAGGACACAGGAAGAGCAACCTTACTGAGGAGTTGAGGGCAGTAGCTTCCCAACCTATGTTGGAAGGCAGCATATCTCATTCACTGGTATGTGCTAGAATATGGACTTCACAAATACACCCTTGGCTCTGAAAGTTAGTTCCAACACTTACTGATTTGGGCAACACATGTTATGTCTCTGAGCCTTCTTTTTCTCTACTTGGAAAATGTAGGCAGTACTGGCCACTTGCATTTATATGGTTTCTTTCCCTTCTCTGCCCTTCTCTTTTTTCTCCTTCTTTCCTCCCTCCTTCTCCCTCTTTTTCCATAATTAACTGGTTCTTCTATTAAGAAGTAAAACTAGGCCAGGTGTGAGGGCTCATGCCTATAATCCCAGTACTTTGGGAGGCTGGGGTGGGCAGATCACCCTGAGGTCAGGAGTTTAAGACCAGCCTGGCCAACATGGCGAAACCTCATCTCTACTGAAAAAAAAAATACAAAAATTAGCCGGGCATGGTGGCAAATGCCTGTAATCTCAGCTACTTGGGAGGCTGAGGCAAGAGAATCACTTGAACCCACCTTGTAGAGGCAGAGGTTGCAGTGAGCCGAGATCACACCATTGCACTCCAGCCTGGGCAACAAGAGCAAAACTCCGTCTCAGAAAATTAAAAAAAAAAAAAAAAAGACTAATAATCCTAACAGATACATAAGTGCCATTGTAAAGAATAAATGAGTGTGGTAAATTCTTGAAATTTTATGGTTCCATTAGCTTCTTTTTATTTCAATAGTTTTTGGGGTACAGGTAGTTTTTGTTACATGGATGAATTCTTTAGTGGTGAATTGTAAGATTTCATTAGACCTGTTACCCAAGCAGTGTACACTGTACCAGTATGTAGTCTTTTATCACTCACTCACCTCCTAATCTCACCCTACCGCAATTCCACAAACTCCATTCTATCATTCCCTATGTTTTTGCATCATAGCTTACCTCCCACTTAAAAGTAATAACAGCGCTCACTTTGACATCACATAGACTAAAATTGGAATGATACAGAGGAGATTAGCATGGCCCCTACGCAAGGATGATACGCAAATTCGTGAAACATTCCATTTCTTTCTGGCCGTGTGGGTGGCTCATGCCTGTAATCCTAGCACTTTGTGAGGCCAAGGTGGGTGGATTGCTTGAGGTGAGGAGTTCAAGATCAGCCTAACCAACATGGTGAAACCCTGTCTCTTAAATACAAAAATTAGGCTGGGCGCAGTGGCTCACGCCTGTAATCCCAGCACTTTGGGAGGCTGAGGTGGCCAGATCACCTGAGACTGGGAGTTTGAGACAAGCTTGACTGAAAAACCCTGTCTCTACTAAAAATACAAAATTAGCCAGGTAGGATGGCACATGCCTGTAATCCCAGCTAGCTGGAAGGCAGGAGAATCGCTTGAACACGGGAGGTAGAGGTTGCAGTGACCCAAGATCGCACCATTGCACTCCAGCCTGGGCAAGAAGAGTGAAACTCCATCTCAAAAAAAAAAATGAGAGAAAAAAATTAGCTAGGTGTGGCAGCGCACGACTGAGGCAGAAGAATTGCTTGACGCTGGGAGGCGAAGGTTGCAGTGAGCCGAGATCCTGCCACTACACTCCAGACCAGGCAACACAGCGAGAGTCCATCTCAAAAAACAAACAAAAAAAAGAACATATGGTATTTGTTTTTCCATTTCTGTTATTTCACTTAGAATAATGGCCACCAGCTCCAACCAAGTTGCTGCCAAAGACATTGTTTTATTCTTTTTCATGACTGAGTATTCCATGGTGTATATATACCACATTTTTTTTATTTACTCCTTGGTGAGTGGACACGTAGGTTGGTTTCATGTCTTTGGAATTGCAAACTGTGCTGCTATAAACGTCTGCATGTGTCTTTTTCATGTGATGACTTATTTTCCTTTGTGTACATACCCAGTAGTGGGATTGCCGGATCAAATGCTAGATCTACTTTTAGTTCTTTGAGGCAGACTCTTTTACATAGTAGTTGTACTAATTTACATTGCCACCAGCAGTGTAAAAATGTTCCTTTCACCACATCCATCCCAGTATCCATTGTTTTTTTACTCTAAATATGGTCATTCTTGTAGAAGTAAGGTGGAATCTCATTGTGGTTTTAATTTGCATTTTTATGGTTCCATTTTGAATACAAGTTATACTTTCCCATACCAGAAGTAGGGCCTAGTTCCAGTTTCCAGTTCTCCACCTCCTTCCAGTTCCTCAGTGTGATCTATCCAGATGTCTGCCCTTATCCTGGGGACCACCTCCCCACGGGATAGCTAGACACAACCTGCCTGACTTGCTCCAGTGAACCCCACACCCTGCATGCGCTGTGCAGATATGCTGCAGTGACCACTCTCAGTCACAGCCCGACCCGTGCCTGCTTGCTTCAAACCAGGGATGTCCGACCTTTTGGCTTCCCTGAGCCACATGGGAAGAGGAATCATCATCCTGGGCCACACATAAAATACACTAATACTAATGAAAGCTGATGAACTAAAAAAAAAGATTGCAAAAAAAAAAAAAAAAACCCCTTATACTGTTTTAAGAAAGTTTACAAATTTGCATTTCTAAGGTCTTTTAGACTGACTGACGGTGCCATGGACGCCATGGCGATTCCCATGACCCACACATACACCTCTGGATGGCCTCCCAGAATGACAAAGTCTGAAGTAACTGGAAAACCATGAAAAGAGGAAGAATGATCAACACCTGCGGAGCCTAATTAACTTGAGACATTCTTCTGTTCTTCTATTGTTCCTCCCCACCCCCACCGTGCATCAGTTGATAAGGCGATTGGAGTTTGTAACCAACCTTGGTCAACCTTGTG